TGAGAATTAATGCAGCTCTCCACCTTGGCTCCACTCCACGCTGCACCGTGTCCTCCTGCCAAGGGCCCGGGACTCACCAACTCCCATTATCAGTGGCCACAGCTTCAGCGCGACCGTGGATTGTGCGCTCCACGGTGCTCCCAGCACAGGGCAGGAAGCATCTCAGTGAGCGTGTCTGGCTCCAGCCCTCCACCCGCATTTTTCCTTCCTCTTCCTATTTTTCTTTTTCCTTCAGTTCTCTCCTGGGGTCATGAGAATCCCTCTCCACTTGTCCATGTTGTCAAATTCCAGTGTCTAAGTTGTTTTTCCCAGAGAGGCTCTCTACCCAGCTACCTAGCAAGCTGACATCTTCAGGCTCCCCAGTTGGAAAACTTTTTAAAAAAAGACATTCAAGAAAGCTACATATGGTTCCCATATGGAGATCCTGAGCCTCAGTGTGTGTGTGTGACCACTCAAGTGCATATACTTGCATGTGACAATACTGACGGAGATTCTAGAAAGTCCAGCACAAAGCTCCTCACAGAACTGGCAGAGTAGATTAGCGGAGAAATACAGATTATTCAATAAATGATAATGGACAATTTTTTCAATTGGAAAAATTTCCATTCACAGAAAACCATTCTAAGAGGATCAAAGTTTATTTTGTTTCACTGTTTTGTGGTCCTGGAGAAGCACTGAATGTCATTTAGTTGGTGTCAGTGAGCACTGTTTTTTTAAACAGCTACTTACAAAAGACATGACTTTGTAGTCATATTAAATAGGACAAAATTCACCCTGGTTTAAACCCTATTGTGAAAGCTATAGGCAGGTGACTGTTTATTACATTCTCCTTACAATCTGCAGGCTACAAAACCCTAGTGTATGTCATCTAGAACAATGCTCATTCTATTTGTTGGGAAAAATCTGTACTTTTGATCATTTACACTTCTGGGAGAACATGGCGGATAGATACCAGCAGCTACTGAGGCTCTCTGAGATGGCCAGCTTAGAATCTAGGAATGGTGCGGTGTGAGAAGTCCTAAGCAAGGGGACATATACCCTGCTGACCCAGGAACAAACTAAACTGAGAGAAGCCAACTGGAAATGCAATCCTGGTGCTATAACAGGAACAGATAAAATCTTAGCACGGAAACTGGAACCCGCGCCTCTGGAAATTGCAATTTGAATTTCCTGCTGCCGCTGCTGTGTCTGAATTGGCCCAGCAGGGAGAGAGACACGCGAAAGCTCTGAGATCAGGAATCGGTGAATGGAGTTGAGAGCAGGACTGGCAGGGAGCCCTACATTGACCTACGGTGAGTGAGAGGAATGGGGACCCTTCTACAGACTAGGAGGCTCCAACAGAGGACATTCCGGGACTGGGCAGACTAGCTGAAACAGGACACTGCAGTGACTTTAGTCGCATATTCCCCTCTCAAGTGGGATTGGTGGGGAGTGCTTGGCCTGGGTGACACCGTGGACTAAGACCCAGTAGGCTAGCCCAAACCAGGTCCCAGCACCTGGTGGTACACCCTAGCAGTGAATCCTTCAGTAGGTTAACCTGGAGGGGTGGGCCCAGCAGAGGCTGCCCAGGTCTATGTCTCCCTACTACACTGCAGTGGGTGGGAACACCCAGCCAGTGGATTCAAAGAAACTGTAACCAACAAAGAAAGAAACTGGGCCTCCTATATACGCTTGTGTGGAAGGAACAAAAAGTATGGGAAGAGGGAGCAACAAGAAAGGGTCCTCAGTCCCCAATCCTGAGAACATGATCCAGGAAAGGTAAATGCAAAGGAGAATGAGGACAAAAAACATGCATTATCAGACACAGCACCAATAGACATAAAGCGGTATCTCCGGAGCCTCATAGATGAGTTCAAAAGTGAAGTATTTAATAAAGTAAAGCAAGATATAAGTAGAATAGTTACAGAAATGCTAAGCAACGCCCAAGAAAAAACAGCTGGTGGAATGGAAGAACAGAAAAAAAGGGGAGAACTGTTTGATGGAGAAAATAGAGAAAACATAGAATACGTGAAGCAGGTTCAAAGAGATTACCAGGAAACTAAAAACTCTATTGAAAGCTGGCATAACAGCTTGACTGAAACTAAGGATAGATTATCTGAATTAGAGGACAGATTTGTAAGGTGGGAGCATGAAATGGAAAACTTCTTAAAAATAACAAGGAAACAAATAGCAATAATACAAAGGCTATATGATGATAAGAGGATCTATAACTTAAGAATTAAGAACATAAAAGAAGGAAGTACGGACACAAACAAATGAACTATAAAGGCTATTCACAGACATAATCCAGGAGAATTTCCCTAATTTAGCAAAAGGTAAAGATACTCAGATATATGAGGCATACAGCACCCTAGCCATCTACAACCCAAACAGAGCTACACCCAGGCATATAATAATCAAAATTCCAGAAATACAATATAAGAACAGAATATTAAAAGCTGTCAGAGACAAGAAATAGATCACTTACAAGGGAACACCCATCAGAATTACAGCAGACTTCTTGGCACAAACCATCAAATCACGAAGAGCATGGGGGGAAATAATTCAAGCTTTGAAAGATAATAACCTCCAGCCAAGATTGATACATCCTGCACAACTATCCCTAGAAATTGATGGAAAAACAAGGTGCTTCCAGGATAAAGAGGAACTAGGGGAATTTGCAACCACCAATTCAACTCTACAGAGAATACTGCAGGATATTCTTAAAAAGAAAAATACCAAGATTTCAGAAACAGTGGCAGAGAGGCCACAATGAATGGAGCAGAAAGCGAAATAAGGAAGACAAACTGACAACTAATGACAGAAAAAGAGCTCAACAGAAATGAGGCAGAGAAAGTCTGATGGTAGGAACAGCTATTTTGGAGAAAACAAGACATCATAATAGCTAGTGCTGATTTAATATCATCTTGTTTTAAAGTCCCATCAAGCTTTTGTTCTTTTGTCTCTATCTGTCTTAACATGTTGTTTCTTACTGGATTTTATTATATGTAATAATATAAACAAAAACTTTTATAGATAGATTATACAGAAACCATTGTTCATTTTCTGTTAGCTAATTCTAAATATCCTGTAATGCTGCCATTCTCTTGAACGGTTTTACATTGTCTTGATATGTTTGATGCTACAGTATATGAAGTTATACTCAAAGATTTCAAGGAAAGAGACACTATGGTAACTACTTTTATGTCGGGATTATCTTGTGGTCAAACACTATTCTGCTTAAATGGTTATGTTTTGACTTGCGCTGTTTTGTTGTTATGCTCGCTTTTATCTCAATCTCCTTTTTTTATTATTTACTTTTTCATTTTTATCCTTTTAATTAAGGGAAAAATAAATAAAAAATAGCAGGATATATTATAGTAACCCACTTTGATTTCCTATTAACTTGATTTGAAACCCTGTATTGCTCTCACCATCTTGTTTTGACTGATTTTCCTCTATTCTGTTTTGCTTGATAGTATCAAGTTCGAAAGTAGAGGCAATAACTGTGAAGACAGTAAGATTCATTATGACACCCATTTTGGTTGACTATGATCTTCTTTTGAAGTCCTCTAATGTCTCCAATGTTTTGGTTTTATTGGTTTTGTTCTTTACTGTTTTGTTCAATTTTATTATAACTGATGATATAGGCAATTCTTTTTAAGATAGCAAGAGGCATTATGGTAACCATTGTTGATCACCTTGTATTTTGTTTTTACATTATGTATTATGTCCATCCTTTTGATTTGACTGACTCTGTTCTGTTATATCACATTTGGTTTTACTCTCTTCAAGAAAAAGTAATAAGAACTGTGGGAGTAATAAAACCCAAAATGTGTAATTGTCATTGTACAAAAAAGAGGAAAAGAAAGTGCTCTAAAGGATATAACTGCATGTATATTTAAGTGTATAAGATAGATAACCATATTACTGAGTTTTGATGGATCATTGAACAGAACTGTTTGCAGTCTCACTGTTTGAATGTCCACTTTATATGCTTTAATTTTGTAACTTGAACAACTATTTTTAAGATGACAATATGTAATCTATTAACTAGTGATTTCCTACTGTTTATTTTTTCTGAAATTCTGTATAACTTGTACCCTTTTTGGTTTTTTTTTCTCCTTAAATAAAATTTTTTAAAAAATCTGTGCTTTTCATGATATAATAGTGCTACCTCTCTGTCAAAATGGAGGAGCTGTAAGGCCAATGGTGGTTCTAGATTAAAGACCTAAGAGATGGCCGGCTAAATACAATATATGATGCAGGAATTGATACTAGAGAGGTGAAAACATTTCCATAAAGGACAGTGAATTGGACAACTGATGGAATTTACATATAATTACAGTGGCACCTCAGTTCACAAAGTTAATTCTTTCCATTATTCTGGAACAAATCCTGCAACTACAACTGTGAAGAGAATTAAGTTGGAGAACCAAAGTACCACTGTATTACATATAGACAACAGTAGTACATCAATGTTTAAATTTCCTGCTTTTGATCTCATGCTTAATTAAGAGAAATGTCTCACTCTGGGTAGATAAACAATGAAATATTTAGGGGCAAAGGGCTCTGATGTGTTCAACTTAATTTCAATTAACTTAGCATTAATAATGGTACTGTTAATGTGAGGGTGTCCATGCATATACTGACAAATGTGGCAAAAGTTGGTAAAGGGTATAGAGGAGGTTTGTGTACTATTTTGAATTTTCTGTTCATGTAAAATTCTTTATAAATAGACACGTAAGCTGGGAATGGTAGCTTACTCCTGTAATCCTAGCACTTGGGAAGCTGAGGCAGGAGGATCACCATAGTTCAAAGGTAGCCTGTGCTCCAAGGTGAGCTAGGGCTAGCCTGAACTACAGAATAAGACTGTAGCTCAAAAACAACAACAAAAATCAAAACAAAGAAAAATACAAATTTAAAACACACATGTATTAACTTTTAGTGCCTATCAAGTTTCTACACGATGCATTTATAATAAATAATATAAAAGATCAACAAAGTATTTCCATGCTTACTTGAAACTGCCAATTTCCCAGATGATCAACATCTTTAATATATACATGATAATGTCCTCCATAGCAGCCACCTTTGTGTATAATGACTGAGAAGAGGTCATATACATAGTCTAAGTCATTCAATTCACTCTGAAAGAAAGGAAAATAAATGCTGACATCATTTATATAAGATGGTAAGACACATAACCAAAGAGAAAAGAGGTTTTTACCTGACTAAATTATACTACATTCCAACCACCTAGTCATGTGTCTCCACCAAACCAGACTGACTATCACTCCTACACGTCAGTGTTCTCCACAAAATAGGACCTAGCAATTGTGACTACCTGCTGGCACGGTGGAGAGGCAGTTTAATGGAATGAAGAGTTTTACCACTTAATCAATTCTATGATTAAGCTGTTTTATAATTAAACACAAATGACTCAACATATAAACTCAAACTTAGCAAAAAGAAACCCAAATGCCTCTAATTTCAGCTAGTTGGGAGCTGAGGCAGGAGGATTTCCAGTTTGGGGCCTAGATTGGGCAACTTAGCAAGCCCCTATCTCAAAATTAAAAAATGAAAAGGTTCGGGGACATAGTTTAATGCTCTTTGAGTTCAATCCCCAACACAAAGACAAAAATGAAAAACCAAAACCAACAAAAACTAAAAACCTTAGGTTAAGAGGTACTTTAAATCTTTCATGCAGAAGAAAAAGGAAGCTTCAGCCTTGAGGGATGTGACTCACCCAGTGGGTGCTCCCTTTTGGCACCCATGTCTGAATGCAGCCAGTGTCATCTGCAATGGTAGAGGCACATGTGTTGCCACCCAGGGGGATTATCTCAGGAATTTAACTGCTTAAATCGTACTTTTTAAGTGGGCTGCATTTTAAAATAAAATGCTCAGGCAAAAGACAACAAAGACATAAAGCTACAAGGTGACATTTCTTCTTAATATGGAAATTCAAAAATAAAATAAATGAAGATTTCCTAGATGTTTCCCTTTTTTTGGAACCTGTTTTAGTTTTTGCAAAATACTTTATTTTATATGTATATATTTTTTTGTATTTTCGAGACAGGGTCTCTGTACGTAGTTTGGACAGGCCTTGAGCTCACTTTGTAGCCTAGGCTTCCCTCAAATTGACAACGATCCTTCTGCCTCAGCCTCCCAAGTGCAGGGACTACACTATGCCTGGCACGCAAAGCACTTTAAAATCAGGTGACATGGCCGGGGATGTAGCTCAATGGCACAGTATTTGCCTGGCATGTAAAACGCCTTGGGTTTGACCCCAGCAATGCTAGCAGGTGGAAAGCACATGAAAAACTGCCTTTTATAAGAGGAGGGGCATGTGTTTTTAACAAATTTTGGGAAAATTATTTATTCTGAGTATGCCAATAGTCAGTCAGGCCAAGTGTGGTGATGCATATTCAGGAACCTGAGGCAGGAAAATTGCTGAGTTTGAGGGCAGCCTGAGCTATGTAATGGGACTCTATCATACAAAACCAAAAAAAAAAAAAAAAAACACACAAGCAAACAAACAAAAAAACAATGAGTCAGGCTGAGAGTCCAAAAAATGAGAACTGTCTAGTAGTAAATGATAGATTAAAAACCCAAAGGCTCAGTAATTAGGCTTGTAATAGAGGAAGATGTATCTGTGAAAGTTTGGATTAAAGAACGTTCATAACAGACTACTTTTCGATAGTTAGCTAATACATATTCTGTTAGTCACAATAAGAATAAGAAACATGGGGCTCATTACTCTCATCTGAGCAAGTATTATAATGATAAAGTGTTTGAAAAGAGTTTATAAAGCAGGCTACTTTAGTAATAATCTGCTTTCAAAACACTTTCTTTCCTGGGTTGAAAGGATTATGAAATCTAATTTTTTGTTTGTTTTGTAGAGCTAGGGATGGAATCCAGGATGTTGCATATGCTAGGCAAGCACTCTCCCACCGAGCTACATTGCCACCTGTAAATTCCAGATTGATAAGTTCCATTTGCCTGCTCATTTTCTAGATAGCTGATTCAGTATTACAATTGAAGTAAACTAAACGCAAACAGCAAAGTACCAATTACTAATTTTTTTAAAAAGCAGGGCTAGCATTTTTAATTTTGTTTGAAAATTTTCACTTTAAGGATTTTTCAAAAAGTAACAAAGAGAACAAATCTAAACTCTGAAATTCAAAACGACTGTAAATGCAGTAAATCAGAAGTTCTCAGTTGGGGCATTTTTGCCCAATTCTGCCCAATCCTTCCTTCTAGATGTGGACTTTCGGCCATGCATGAAGACATTTTTGGTGGCCACATGTGGAAGGAGGGGAGGGGGGTGCTGCTATCACTGAGTAGGGAGTTTGGGGATGCCGTCTACTTCTTGTAAACTCAGTCCCCACAATAAAGAACTGCTTAACTCAAGATGCTAACAATGCCAGCATTAAGATACTGCAGTAAACCAACTGAAAAATCAGGTCAAGAAAGATTTAATCTTGGGAGGGGAAAAGAAATAATTTAAAAATAAAATAGTTCAAACCTGTTCACAAAAAGGCTTGAGGTTGATCCGGAGAGGGAATGTGTAACAGCTAGTTTCCTTGTAGCGTTCACACTTTACAAAATCAAAATTAAATCTTAGTAATGAAACCGTTAGAAAGGGAGGCAGCTTACGTAATTTGGCCGACTGTTAAAAAGAAAAAGTTGCAAAAATTTTAAAAAGCAGTTATTCAGAATTACACAAAATGTTAAAGTATGAAAAAAAAACACATGACAGTTTTAATTAAATCACAGTAACTCATTACCATGGTTAAGTCTTGATGTAAACTCTTTTTTTGGGGGAGGGGGTACAGGGAATTGAATTCAAGACCTTGAACTTGTCAGGCAGGCACTGTACTGCTGAGCTATTTCCCCATCCTTGAAGTGCACTCTTAACTCTGGTATATTATTCTTGATATTAACTCATCTGTTTTATGGAACTAAAGGTATATCACTCATTTAGGCTTTTAACTAAAAATCCTCAAGCTACTTTTATGTTTTCAGTGTTGCTATTCCAAAACACTATTTGATGAGCATGTTATAATCAGCTGTTCATCTTCATCTGCCTAGTTGCTGCCCAACTCCTGGCCTTTCATCTTGCTACACGATGTTGCTGGTACATAATTACTTAGCAGTCACATAGTTCTTACACAGCGAAGAACTGGAGCTCTGAGACCATGAAGTGGCATAAAAATTGTATGTGTACATGTACTTTTCTGAGGAGAAGATCCAGAGTTTTCATTAGGCTTTAGAAGTACTCCTAACTGAAAGGTTAAGATCTATTGATTTAAGTTTTATATCTACTTTTTTTTTTTTTTTTTTTTTGGGTACCAGGGATTGAACTCACAATCTTGGGCTTGCCAGGCAGGAGCTTGTGCTATTGAGCTAAATCCCCAGTCCTCTACCTACTCTTAAATTCAAAAGCAGGTAAGACTTTTATGCTTTGTTTTAATTTCTTGCTTTAAAACAAAACACTAAGGCATGGTTCGGTGGTCCAATCCTGTAACCTCAGCCCCAGGGAGGCATGGTTAAGATTGCAAATTTGAGGCCAGCCTCCGGTACACAGAGAGTTTAAGGCTCAGCATAGACTACATAGTAAGAGCTTGTCTCAAAAGCAAATGAGGCACTAAATTAAGCTTTTTTAACCTATCGAATGTCCCCAAACCTCTTGGATTAATGGCTTAAGGGGGGAAAAAATTCTCCCCTATATGAATTTATAATAATATAATATTGCTGAATATATACATAAAATAATTGCACAAATCTAGTGGGTAAAAAATGTTAATTGAAAAGCTCTAGGCCAGGTATGTTAGCACACACCTATAAAATCCCAGCATTTGGAAAGACAAGACAGGGGGACTGAGATGAGTTCAAAGGCCAGACTAGAATACAATGCAAGACCTCCTCACCAAAACAAACAAAACAATCTTCAGCAATACAATATGGTAGATAATAAAATCTCAAGATGCTTCTAAGTAACTGAACTGGAACATGGCTGAGAAAAGATTGCTAGACAAAAAAAATACTAATTATTAAATAGCCAAACCCAAATATAAAATGCAGTAAGTCCAGTGTAACTAGAATAACATTTTAGACTTAAAAGTATCAAGATTCAAAGTTTTCCATTCATAAGCCAGGCTTGGTGGTGGGAGGCTACTATGGGGATTGTTATGAGTTCAAGGCCAGCCTGGGTTTCACAGTGAGTTCAAGGATGGCGTGGACTGCATAGTGAGACCCTGTCTCAAACAAAACACAACAAAAATTCCATTGGAAAATGAATGATATAAAAGGTATATAAAAAAACTTTTTTTTAGCAAAAGGTTGTTAGCAAAAACTTGTTTTAATTAAGTTCAAGTTAAGCCAAAAATTAAGATGTATCTACAAGTTTTCCAAACTCTGAAGTTTATACTAGCTCTTTTACTAGGTTATAGATGTAACATCAAAAGTGAAATGTAAAGTAAGTGGTAAACCTCTTTTTAGGTTTCAAAGAAGCCACGACTGTGTGGAAATAGCTACACAGTAAAAAATTCACCCTGGTTTTAAATCCTATTGTGAAAAATATGACCACAATTTTTATTATATTTTCTTCCATAATCACCAGGACATAAAATCAGAATATCTAAATATTCATTTTACTTGTTGAAAAGTTCATTAATTGTCAGCTCCAGGGAACAATGCTCTCTTTGACATCGTGGGATAACTGTACTAATGTCTTAGTGGTAGCTGTTTAAGACAAACCTCTGTAGCAACTGACTAAATGAGCTCCTTTCAGATGCTTATGAACAGCCCACCCCATCCCATAGCCTGGGACAGCTGCCAGCATCATTCATAAAGGCAGCAGCAGTGGGGTTGATGCTGTGTTGCTCACAGGCACAGGAGCTGAGAGGAAGGTCAGAGATGGCACAGCCAAGCTAGGGCAATGGAAAACAGTGTTAATACTTTACACATACACAGATATACAGGCACTTTAATATTGTTTCTTTACACTGACTTTAATAAGTTAGCAGTACTTGGCAATTTACTAGCATTAATAATGCTTTTGGTGGGAATGAACTATGTAAAAAACGCTTTTGTAAAAATCTGTCTTGTCAGTCCGGCATGGTGGACAAAATTTATGATGCATGAAAATAACACTGAGTGTGTGTGTATGTATGTTTGAAATAGCAATGATTTCTTATTTCTTGTCAGTTTCTCTTTCTTCTTAGATTCTAAAATAACTATGCATTTTATCTACAGAAATGACTACAGATATGATAAAACAACTGGAATTCTATGCTAATTGATTTTATTCTTCTCTTAGCTCAAACTGCAAAAAAAAAAAATCAGTTGCTTTAATCCTGCCTCCATTTCACCTTGTATTTTCCTTTGCTGCACAGAAAGAAAACTGAAAGTACTCTGCGGAGGCTCATAATTACCAAGGAAAATATTCACAAATGGGAAAGGGCATATTGGAGGAAGCGAAAACATGTATCAAGATTGTGAAATAACTTCTGCGGAAATGAAGACAGCCACTTGTTTCCATAGTGGCAAACAGAGAAAAGAATTCAGAAAGCCTCTTGATGGCAGGAATGAAAATACATCCATACCATCTCCTTTACAAAGTCATTTGCCAAAAGCAGGGTGTTTATACTAAAAGGCACACACTTAAGAAACTCAGGTACAAATAACTTCCAATGGGAGAGAAGGAAGTTAAGAGAACTGTTAAGACGTGAAGCCTTTAAAATATTTTTTATAAAAAATTTAAAAATTGCCAGATGTAGCGCACATCAGTAATTCTAGCACTCAGGAGGCTAAATTAGGAGGATTGTTGCAAGTTTGACACCAGCCTGGGTTACAACCAGCCTGGGTTACAAAGCTCAAGTTAAGCCTGAATTGCATAGCTACACCTATCTCAAAAAACAAAAAACAAAAACAAACAAACACTTCTCCCAACCCTACCTAATAATGTCAATGCTTTTTTGGGTAAAGATCTTTATGTTTATCCTGCAGACATGCTTTATGGTCCTGGGATTAAGCCTAGGACCTGCATACCTAGGTACATCCACAGCCTTTTGTTTGGTTTTTGTTTGTTTTTAAAGCCAGGGTCTTGCTAAGTTGCTAAAATTGCCTTGATTAGGCTCGGACTTGTAATCCTCCTGCCTCACCCTCGCAGAGTTCTAGATTAAGATGTGCACTACCACCCTGGCTTTTCCCAGACTTCTGCCTACAAGGTGACTTCAGCTGACAGACTTTCCTGCTATGGAGTACTAACTGGGTGCTATGGGAAAAGGTAGGCATCATTACCTTTGTTGCTGTAACCAGCCGGTCACAAGTTCCACAGTGGTACAAGTTGTCACAGTCAAAAACTTCCTCTTCCACATACATGCTCCAGAGAGCATCTTCCAAACCAGACACATCTTTGACAGCTACTGTCAGATCTAAGAAGTCTTCCTGAGAGAATCAAGAATATCGAAAGCATAATTTACAAAGTGTTACGAGCATATCACCAACTCAGACACAGATTGGGGATAATCAGATATATTTCTCCTAAAACACTATATGCATGACTAGCTGCTGTGAAATTTATAACACTCGATTATCCTGTCTAAATCAAGCTATAACTCAATTTAAAATATATTAGGAAAACATTTTATAAAGGGAGAAGTTTATGAGCTTAGTGTAGATAATTAAAATCCATTTTCTCAGGAAATAAACTGTAATAAAATATATCCCTGAATTTATATACATCACACATACACACAGTTTTTAGTATTGTTTTAGTCTTTAGAGGTATAACAGCAAAGTCAAAAGTAAATTTTCTAATGTAAACTCTACTTCTTTCTTTTTTTTTTTTTTTTTTGCTATAGCTGGCATAAAACACACCAAAATTCTAAGAAAAAATTATTTTGACCCAGCATAAATGGTATTTCTATGAAAACAGAACGGCATTTCACAAAAAACAAGTCTACTAATTCTACCTAACTACATTTGAATGTCACTGTATTTCTAGTAATAATGCTATTATAATTTGGCATGTTTAAATCAGATTTATGGCCCTGTGCGTGGATGCAACATTATTTGACACACAGGACATCTTAATTCACTAACCAAGAAAGATTTTTTTCATGTTATTAAGAACCAAACATACTGAACTATGTGCCCCTCATAATCCCCTTTCCCCTTTTAGAGACAAATTCTCACTAAGTTTCTAAATTGCTTAGATTCAACTTTCCTCTTTAGCTTCCAGAGTACTGGGAGTAATCGTTTGAATTATCAACACCTGGTTGACCAAGAAAGCCTATTAGCATAGATAAGGGCCAAGAAGTATTTTTTTAAAAAATCCATAATTCTTGAGAAATAGATGGACTCAGTGGATAGTTTGTCTAGCATGTATTGAGCCTTGGTTTTGCTCCTTAACGTCAAGAGGAAAAAAAAAAAGACCAAATACACATATGTGTACACACACATATTTCCAGCAGCAACACTTTATAGAAAATGGCACTACATTTTATTTCACACAGTTAAATAGAGAAATGTTCTACAGCTTTTGCCATATAACAAAAGGAGGTTTTGGGCCAGGGATTTAGCTCAGCAGCAAAAGCATCTGCTTTGTAAGTGCATGGTTGTGAGTTCAATCCCTAGTACCCCCCCCCACAAAAAAGAGATTTTTATTAAAGCATTCAGTGATGAAACCATTAGTGTATAAGAAACAGTGATCATCATATTTACAAAAATCCAGTTTCTAATCAGATTAAATAGGCAACTACAAAGAACTGAAGATCATGAAAATTAAAGTTATAATAACTTTATTTATACTAGCTTATATATAGTATATAAACGTAAGCATAAAAAGTACACTTAATAAGCTAAATCCAGTATAAAACCACAGAGGTTTATCAGTTTAAATGATACTCAATGTTCTGTTTAATCTCTCTGATTAATTTCCTTTAACAATATTTGAACCACAACACTGGCCTTCTTTCATAAGGCCACTGTCTTCCACTTATAAACATCTCTAAAGCCATTACCCAAATAGCAGATGCTATGGTTTATGTGTCTAAATGTCTCCCCAGAGCCTCATGTGGTCATACGTGGGGATTTCAGGAGGTGGCTGGATCAAGAGTGTGTGTTGCTGGCATCAAGGATGATGCTGGGATTGACTCACAAAAGGATGCTGGGATTAAGGGTGTGAGTGCTTCCCACCCTGGCCTGGATAAAATGTAAGGGACAGAAAGACAGCTGCCATCGTCATCACTGGTCACTTGCTTGCTCTTTCCCCGACTTCTGCCTACCATGAACTTGTTTCACCTCTATGATTCCCCTCTGTCATGCCACCTGGCCTTGGAGATGGCCAACTATGAACTGAAACCTCTACAAGCTGTGGGCTATAATAACTCTTTCCTCTGTTGGGTATTTTGTCTCCACAATGAAAAAAGTAAGACACCTGGATACTAATTACAAGACTGCTTTAAGATACTTGCTTCTTTCAGTTTACATGGAAATATCTGATTCATAAGCAATATTTAGTTGTAGTTAAAGGAGAAAGTGATAAATTATTTCCAGTTGATAAACATTTTAATCTGTACGAAAGATCATATTTCGTGACATGAATTATAATCTACAATACAATTTAATACTAAAAGACTTTCATATTTACCTGCTTTTCACTTATGTTTTTACATTCTTTACAAACGATCTGGTTAACAACTGTTCCATGATACAGACGATTGATGAGGTCATGTCCAGAGGTCCCAACTAAAGAAGTTTCCAAAGCACTGAAGAGAATTCGATTCAGTTCCTGTACATCATGTTGTCTCATTTCCTATACAAGCAATGCATAAAAGTGCTTTTGTGTGCTAATTTTATAAAAATCAATTTAAAAAATAATACAAATAAAAACTCAAGCTTTATCACACAATTCAACATAACCTTTGATCAGACATAAGGATTACTAAGCAAAATTAGCCCAAAACAGGTTAAAAGACCATCACCTACTTTTATTGATACTACAAACTAAAAATACGAGTAGGCTGCATTCAGGATGTATTTATAATTCAACTTGCCTGACAACTGGAAAGTGCATTTACTCTTGTGAGGAAACTATACATGGCCATGCCACAAAGAGGACAGGAGGGAGGAACAGGAAGGTTTAACTAAAAGATGCCACCTCATGAAGTCACAGTGGCTGGAGAACATGACAGGGCAACACCATCAGAGAAGGCCTAGGATTTACAGCTGTGAAGCAAAACTAACAAAAACAAGACCAACATGGTGCTTCTGAGAAAAATTCCAGGAGACTTCTCAAAATGGCAGTGCTGAGTATCAGCTACTCAAGCTTCTCCAGAACGAAGTGCTGAGATTTGGAAAATCACAGCCCAGGGAGAATCCAAAGGGAATGCAGGACACATGGGAACCATGAGGGAACTGATAGTGAAAAACAAGAAAACAGGATTCATTGCCACAGAAGAAATGGCTCACTGTCACAGATCTGGGACCACACAGTGCAACGAGAGCAGCTGTGTAGCTGTCCCGGTGGGTGGCAGAAGCAGCTTTGCCCCTCATTGGGAGGCTGAGACCTGACCTGGACCAGGAGAATCTTGTACAGCTGGAGGCAGCAGCAAGAAGGTAAGACACCACTTCCTGAGTGCTTCACACTGCGAATCAATAATGAGTGAACTAAAAAGGGGCCCAGCACACAGGAAAGAGGAGGACTAGCAGCAGGCAAGAGGGCCCACCATTTTATTTTAAAGGGCTCAGGGTTTGAAATGCAGCAGCAGAGCAGCCCTAGGCTTGCTTCACTGCCAGTATTCCTGAACGGAAAAAGGGTCATCCAATCATAGTAGACAGCAGGCTGGAGGGAATTCGGTCAAGTAGGAGCTGGGCAGGGGATTTAACTAAGTGGCATAAGCACCCGCCTGGCAAGTGCAAGGTTGTGAGTTTGATCCAGGCTACCCCAAAAAAAATAGTAGTAGTAGCAGTAGTAGTAGTAGTAGTAGCTGGGACCAACCAGACTCCATTCTGCTGGGGGCCAAAAGCCAGTCTTAGCCCTGGCTACAGTGGACTGGAAGTAGTCCCCTGCTCTATGACCAGAGAGGCAAACAGGTAAGTGGCCTTGGCATGCAATGAGACAAAGGTGGCCCCTGCCCTGCACCCAGTGGCATAAGGGGCCCCTACCTGTCCTGTGACCAGAAGGGCATACAGTCAATTGGCATTGGCCGGTGGCAGGACAACGTCACTATCCCCGCCCTATGGCCAACTTGTGAGAGAAGTCAGTGGTGTGGCCAAGATTAGCTTTTTCCCCACAGCAGTCCCACTGCAGACTGGGTGGGGTTACTCAGTTAGAGGTTCCAGCTCTGACTAGGGAACTGACCCAGAACAGGGGCACCAGAGGAATTTTTTTTGAGGGGTGGTTGTTTAGGTTTTGACTTTTACTGTTTGGTTTGGTTTCTCTGTTCTGTCTCTTTCCTCAATGGTCTTTCTTGATTTTCTGCTATTTACATGTGAATGAAAACTGTCTCGTCTTTCTGGTTCGCCCTGATATTCTTTCACTTTCTCCTTCATTTCTTTTCTCCCTTTTGCTTTTCCAGCTTCCCAAAGTTTGGGTGATTATTCTTCGTCTTTCAGCCTTGCTTCCACTATATTTCTCTTCAGTTATTGCTCTGCTTTGTCTCCTGTTCCTCCTAAGTCCTTCTTCTCCTGCAGGATAAAATCACTCTACCAACTAGAAACTCTTGCATACAAGTTTCTGGTTTATGTTGGACGCTGTTTTATAACTACAGATTGTGTTCCTAGGGTTAGAGGTACCAAATTAGCAGTTACTAGACCGTCAGTTTCTAGGCTGTGCTTGATGTTATCATTATTGCTAATTATACTACTTTAATCAGGGCACCTCACTTGTTGTAATCAGTTGTTCACCATTGTATGACAACACTGTGATAACCTGGGGTCCTAATCATCTTCATAGTCCAGTACCATAGGACCGGATGCTATGCCAAATAGCAACTCCTCATCCCTAATAAAGTAGGAAGATAGGATTTGGGGGCAGACACAAAGACTAATGCCTAGAAGATATCTGGGAGGAGCAGACATTTCTAGAGAATTCTCCATACCAATGATAAAGCTACCTAACATAAAAATACAAACCCATAGAAAACAAATTAAAATTAAAAAAACATAGAAGATGACAAGGTATAGAAATAAGATGAAATCCCAGGCTTCCAGCCCACTCAGAACAATTCCAGGGGACGGTGAGACAGAGGAACTCAGAAATCATCCACCTGAATCTTTTGGAATGACAGCAGCAGAAAAAAAAAAAAAAAAAGATACATAAATGTATGAGGATATATAGGAAAATTCTGCAGGTTAAAAAGGAAATGTCAGCCATAATGAATGACTTGCTCAGCAAATTTAGAGTAGCCATACATAAAACAGTAGAGGAGCATAGAAAAATGATGAAAACCATAAATGCCCAATATAGGAAAAAAATGGAACCCATGAAAGAGATTCAAATAAATCCAGGAAATTAAAAATTCCACTGAAAGTTTGCAGAAGTATATTAAAGAAAGTGAAGGCAGACTATCAGACCTAGAAGACAGAATTGTGGTTAGCAGTCACACACACACACACACACACACACACACACACAAATCTATTAAGAATAGCAAGGGACCATGAAAAAGACAATCCAACAAATGCAAGATGATGTGAAGAACATCAGATTGACTGCAGTTAATGAAAAGTAAGAAGCCAGCAAACATGAGTAAGAAACATGTTCACAAAAGTACTAGCAGAAAACTTCTCAAGCACAGAAAAACAATTTGACACCCTGAGAAGTGAGGCATACAGAAAAATTCCACTCCTTAAGAATACTTTCTAAAGCAAAGTCAAGCTGTACACCACCATTTAGAAGTGAGGAGAGGAGAAAAAACAGCTAGAATGGAGAAATCAGGAGGGCGGTAGTCCCAGGAAGCAGGAAAACCTCTAAAGAGGCGGTGAGTGCTCCTGAGCTCAACCAACTAATGCTGACAGCTGTCTTCTGTCCTTCGCACGTGAATGTCATTGTTGACTTTGCCATGAAAGCAGAAAGGAGGCAGAGGCACAAATGCAGGCCGCAGAAGTAGAGGAGGTATGGGAGGATAGTAGAAAAATGTTTCATATGGTAAGCTGAAAATAAAGATGAAAGCTAAAGCTTGGGGCTTGGGATCTTTTTCTTGTATCTCCTTTAAAGTATAAGACATGTAGCCAGGTGTGGTGGTGCACATTTGTGATCCCAGCACTTGGAGGAAAGAGAGTTGTCTGGAGTTCGAGGTCAGCCTGCAAGATCTTGTCTCAAAAAACAAGAACAAAAACAAAAAGAAAAGAAAAAAGAGAAAGAGACAGAGACAGACAGAGACTGAAAAGCTCAGGTGATGTGGTGATTGGCAGCAAAATTAAGCTTCCCCTAAACCCATCATCCAGAAAAGAAAATAACAACATAGCAAAGAAAAAAGTAGGTTGGCAGGAATAGAGAATTGATAGGAAAAACAGAGGCTATAGGAGATTCTGGAGATGCTCTATAATTCAGACATAAAGAAAAAAACAATCTAGACTCTCTTCTCAGAACCAAGCTAAGTGCCCAGGGCAGGAAGATCCAGAGAGAAATGGCTGCTGGGAACAGCAAAAGCAGCATGGCATCTTGCTCCAATGGGATGCCTTCCACACAGCAGGCAACAGCCAGAGGGAAATAATCTCTCATGACAGCCTCAAGAAAAATTAAATACTATTTAGGAATTAATCTATCCAAGGAAGTGAAAGACCTTCACAATGAGAATTACAGTACTCTGGAAAAGGACAGTAAGGTGGACATCAGGAAATGTTCCAGGATAGGCAGAACTAAGGTAGTCAAAATGAGGCAGATGAGGGTATGGCAAACCAGTGGAGTGAGTGGGCGTGTCAGAACATGTGCAGAAAAGAGTTTCAATCAGAAAGTGCTATTTTTGATTCTTCTCATGTGAATTCAAGCAGGATTTTGATAGGACAGGTTAGTTCTGATGCCAACCTGAGGAGTGGGGATACAAAGGCAGTCACCATAAGGCTGTTGGTTGCTGAGTGGTCTCTTTTGCAATGGTCTGCCCTCACCCTGTACAGTGCACTTCTTTAATTGGCATGCACTCACTCTGCAGAGCATGTTTCTTTTCCTACCTTTAATAAACATATAGGCTGGGTGTGGTGGCACATGCTGGTAGTCCCAGCATTGGGAGGCTAAGGCAGGAGGATTTCTGTGAGTTTGAGACCAGGCTGTACAAAGTGAGTTCACGGATAGCCAAAACTGTATAGTGAGACCCTGTCTCAAAAAAAAAAAAAAGTAAAATCTTGCTACTTTTAAGCTTGTTTCATTCATTTTTTTTTCTTCAGAATAAAAAGAACCCAGAAAGACTCTCTAAAAGGACTCCACAGTACTCCAGAAGCCAGTAACAAAAATGGTCATAATTTCAAAAGCGATACAGATTTAATGCAATCCCAAATAAAATACCAATTACCTTCCTCAAAGAACTGGAGAATGGTCTTAAAATGCATATGGAACCAGAGGAGACCTAGAATAATGACATCAATCCTGGGCAACAAGAACAAGGCAGAATCACAATCCCAGACTTCACATTGTAGTATAAAGGTACAGTGATAAAAACAGCTCAGTGCTAGCAAAAACAAACCAGAGGATGCAGAAACAACTCCAAACACATTTGGCTACCTGAGTTTTGACACGGGCCAACAACTTAACACTGGAGGGAAGGCAGCCTTTTTAACAAATGGTGCTGGGAAAACTAGCAATCCACATGCAGAAGATTGAAACTAGACCCATATTCTCATCATTCACTAAATTAAAATCAACATGGATTAAAGTTCTAAATATTAAAATAAAAACACTATCTGCTGGAAGATAAAATAGGTAAAATTCTTAAAAACACAAGGGTAGGCAAGGACTTTTTGGACAGAGCCCAAATTTAACAAGAAATAATACCGAGAACCAACAAATGGGACTGTATAAAATTAAAAAGCTTTTGCATAGCAAAGGAAAATAATAAAGAGACAAAACTACAGAATGGGAAAAAGTTTTTTTGGTAGCTATTCTTTGGACGAAAAACTAATATCTAGAATATATAATGAACTAAAAAATTAGACCTCTTCAAAATAAAAGACCCAATTCAAAAAATGGGCAACTGAAATGAACACACAATTCTCAGAAGAAATACAAATAGCAAATAAATAAATAAATAAATAAATGTTCAAAATATCTGGCCACTAGAGAAATACAAATCAAAACAACACTGAAATTCTGCTTTATTCTGGAAAGAATGGCTATCATTAAGCAATCAGATAACAATAAATGCTTGTGAGCATCTGACGAAAAAAAGGGATCCTCTTGCACTATTGGTGAGAATGTAAACTAGAACAAGCATTATGGAAATCTGTACAGAGGTTCCTCAAAAAACTTAAACAAGTCCCATTTGACTCAGGAATTTCCATGTAGGTATCTCTCTGAAAGAATTAAACACATTATGTTACAGTGATATACGCATACCCATGTTTATAGCAACACAAGCCATAATAGTTAATTCTTGGAAGCTGCCATTTGTCCATCAACAGACGGATAAAGACAATACGGTATTTACATACACAATGAAGTACTACTCTTTCATAAAAGATTTAGATAAAACTGAGTCATTTGTAGGAAAAATGGATGCACCTTGAGACCATATGTTAAGTGAAATAAATCAGGCATACAAGCTGAAATATCAGTTTCTTTTATGTGAAAACATTTATAATTTTTCAAAATATAAAGAGCAAAATAAAAGGAAAAAAGATTCTGTGATAGTTTCCTGTACTTGGATTTGTTAAAATACATCTCTTCCCTAGAGTGGAAGACCTGGATTTACTTGAATTTATACAGCTAACAACTCATCAATAGTGAAAAAAGCAGCTTTATATATTGCTGATAAATGTTTAGAGTGTATACAGTGGAATATAGTTGGGGTCTGTACTTAGACCCCCAATTCCCCAAAAGAGTGCACAGCAAAGTCTCAAAGGAATGAGACAAGTGGCATGATCTTTTGGGCTGCAGGAGGACTGAAATCCTCAGTAGAGCTCGAAACTCTTGCTAGCCAGCCGAATGACTTTGGGCAGCCCATATTTAATCAGAACAAGCAAGGAGTTGAATGAAAAATGCAGGAAACCTGAGCAGGACCTTGAGAGGGGTTTAAGGACCCCTCAGAGCAACAGACAATGCCAATTAAGGAAAACTATCCAGAAAGTCTCCAGGTGGCCTCAGCTGTGGCCTCTCTTGCCCCCTGAGGTGTTTCCTGTTCTCAGTTCAGCCATGCCCAGGCCATGCACAGCCCTGCACGTGTATTCTCCAACAGCATACTTTCTAGGATGCACACGGAAAAATGAGAGAAAGCTCCCACACAATACAATAAAGGAAGAAAGAGAGTTAAAAGTGAGTCAGGATAGGGAACATGGAAAGATCTGCCGCAAATGGCTTCACTGCTCTAACTCATGTAAATGCTCTGAGAAGAACACTCAGATTCAAAGACGATGCACATTACCCAGGGAGACAGCATTTAGACAAAAATACTTATTAGTTTATCCTTTATTGCTAGTCAAACACTGAAAGGCTGATTAGCAGCTTGCCATATAAACAGTAAGTAATTTTCATGTAACAGAAATTATAGCTCAACTAGATTTATACAAAAACACTTAGGGTAGAAAATGCAAAAATCAGCTTCTGCCCTTAACATCTTCTCCCCAATCCCATTTCACAGCCAGCCATAAAAAACCATAAAAAGTGTATTTAAAAATGCACTTTTAGCTGGGCATGATGATGTACACTGATAATCCCAGCACTCAGTAAGCTGAGGCAGGAAAATTGCCAAGAGTTCAAGACCAGTCTGAACTACATAGACTCTGTTTCAAAATCAAACAAACATACAACAGTGAATACATATACATATATATATATAGCCCTGGAATCATTTAAAGTGAGAAGGAATAGTCGGTCAGTATGTTGAGACTCTTAGACAAAATTTAAAAAGTCAGGTAATATCTTAAAGCCTCTTCTATTGCGGGCTGTTTCCTCAGAGACTTTCATACCTCATTGCTGGTCCACCCAAAGCTGTCAGTGAGGTCGGCTGTGGACGCAGCTTCCTGGTCTAAGAGCAGAAGCTGAGCAAACAGGCGCTGCAACTGCAAAGGAATGATTCGAACCTGGACAAGAAATGATGCATTTGTAAATGACCCTTCAGAATGTCATGTGAGGCTTTTTAAAAGACCCATGTATTCGTTTTCATGTACCTCCTACTTCATTTAGGGGAATGTTTGTAAATTTCTTGTCAAAAACAGAGCACTGAGATTGAGTTCTTTGAAAAGTCTATAATTCAGTCCAAGAAATTTTAGTTATCTGATCTAACTTGACATAATTCAGACCAATATTAAAACTCAAATAGACCCACCAAAATAATCACAGACTGGATAGATTCTCTCATAGTTCACTTTTTCTTTAAAATTTTTCCAATACAGATATAGTCCTAAAGATAAGTGTATAAATTTTCTTCTAAGCACACAGATCTCACTGTGGAGTTGGGCTTTTTCACAGGGCTAGCTGCACCTTGCCCCTCTCTCTCTTGGCTCCTAGCCTGTCCTTTTCCTGCCTTATTCAGGAGGAGGAGAGTGAGGAGGAACAATGCCTTTCAGGATCTGATTTGCAGGCCAGGTTTTTAATGACTAAAAGGGAGGATAAACATTTAGAAACTTTTAAGGTAATTTTACATTACCCTGGCACTTAAGAATACGCAATAAAAGCACTAAGCTACAACAGATAGGAAACAAACAAACAAACAAAAAAACATGCAAAAACTGGTCCTTTGCCACACAGTGGTTTCAGAAATACTGGGCTGCATCATGAAATCCTGTGATAAACCCATCTGAGCCTGAAAATGATGAGATTTTTGAATTAGATTTAATCAGCTTGAATGTGATTAGAGCTGCACTTTAAACATAATTTCACCACAGTAAACGCAAACTAATGAACCAATTCCTTACTCAATGTATTTCTAGAACACCAAACTGGAAGTGTTGGTCTCTACAGGCTCACCCAAATCCAATACTGTTTTAAATGAAACAGACATGGGGGCTGGGATTTAGCTCAGTGGCATAAGCGCCTGCCTTGCAAGCACATGGTCATGAGTTCGATCCCAGGTAAAAAAAAGTTAAACAGACATTATGTTTTGCAGGTTAGTGTGGATGGTTTACAAATATCCCTGTCAGAAGAATAAACACAGAGTGAGGTATATTCATGAAACAGTAGCAGCATGTTTGGACAAGTAATTCTTACAAGAAAAATTTCATAATAGAGTATTGCAAAGCTACTTTCTGAAAACACTTGGTAACAAACACAATGATTTTTTTCTATAATAAGGAACTTAGTTCCTTCCTTAATAAACATCTTCTCAATACTTCCCAAAAGACCCCATGAATTATAGATATAATACCTTTGCATCAGGCTTATCCTTATCCTCTAAAGAACCAAGCTCTGCCGGACCAAGAGAAAATAAAGCTTCTAAACAAAAACACAGAATCAGATATGTAAATGACATGGTTTCATTTCAACTGTTTAGAAAGGCAAGACCACCATTAAGCAAAATTAAAGATTCAGAAATACAACTGTGAGAATATTTACATGCCTTGCTTAATACTTTTAATCTATGAAATATCACATAATAAAAGTGGCTAAGGTTTCAGCATGGGAAATATTCATTAGTTTATGCTCATGAATCTATAAATAACAACCTCAGAACTCCGATTGCTTTCCATTGCCTATGGCAGTGGGACCCAAAAATCATGTGGAATTAGGAAATATAAAATATTATATAGGTGTGCATTTTAACACGTGTGAGACTGCCAGCCAGCTTTTCATGCAAAGGACCACCTTTTACCTTGCAATTATGCCCTTCCTTTTTCTGGTGTGAAAAATCTCCCATGCAGTAAAGTTAGTAACAAACTGATGGTAGTACTCTCATACCATGAAAAGGGGCAACATTGTGCCAGTCTCCAGAAGTGCTTTTATAATTCAACATGTGGGTTCATCACTCAATATGACACATCTAGTGGGCATGGTGTCACACATTTACAATTCCTGCACATGCTCCCAAGTAGAGGTAGAGAGAACACTGAGAGTTCAAGCCCAGCTTGGGCCACACAGTGAGTTCAGGGCCAGCCTGTACATAGCAAGACCCTGTCTTACACCAGTCCCTTTCAACTCCAGCTCCCTGATATATCTGAATTTTGGGGGGACATGTGTAACTCCACTCAGGAATATCTTCTGGTATTCCTGACTTTGATACCCTCCATGAGGAAAGAAGAGGACAGCTGTGTCTCTTAATCAAAGAACACTGCTGCTGTAGCAGCTACAGTTACCGATGTTTGATTTCTAGCTAAGTGCTAAGCCTGGGTGAAAATGAATTCTGGATCTAGAGGTTAAAGAACAAAACCATACAAGGACTTTTATGACTGTCTCCCAGGTACAGAGTACTAAACCCACAAACGAACCCATTCTAGTCTTATCCCTTAAAATACATTCTCCCAAACTCCAATATTTTTCTCCCCAGTGTTTTGCTTGTCTTTATCTTTTCCCAATCACAACTTTCCTTCAGCCAGCATCAGGATCATGCTGAGCCACACAAGGAAGCTGGCCTGAGCTTTCTGCTCCACTCCCTCATCCTCCTTAGTCTCTTCCTGGGGCCACTTTTCTACTTCAAGTTGTGCTTTAACTTTAATCGTGTTAAAACCTGGAAAAGCTTATTTCCTCTTAGAAATCTGTTTATTGATGTTGAAATTTCTAAGAGTGGAATTACTAATTGTGTTAAGGAGATAGTTTTATGGAGGAGATAGTCATGAACAAAATGTACTACTGTTAAATCCCACATAAAATTGAATGCATTAGAACGCCCTGAAAAGGAGACAATGGTAAATACTTTATCTCTGAAGGAAGGAGCCTTTGTAAGACTAGAAGCAATGGATAATCTGGGTGATGAAGGGAAGGGAATGTGGCGCTCAGATGTAAGATAAGTTATAGTTGTCTTCAGAACAAAGACACTATGAGCCATGGAAGGCTGAAGGCAGCCAAGTATTGCTCACACCGCATTCAAAAGAGCATGGATACTAAAGACTGCTGTGCAGACACGGGAATGGGCTGAACATGTATAGAAATGGGGGAAGGAAACTAAGGGTTAAGTGAAGTCAGACTAGCTTCTGGCAGCTGGTTCCTGGGACAGTTCTCTTAATCTCACAATTATTTTTAAATGTGGCTAACTTGAGTTTCTGGTTTTTTGTACATAGTCCCTTACCTAAAATCCTGAGGTCTTTGGAATTCAAAACTTTTAGATTTTAGAAAGATAATGTAAAAATGTTACACTAGGTTGTCAGGCTAAACAAATTCAGGTCAGACTGGATCAAGGTCCTAGCTTTCTGGATTTCTCGAAATGCAGATGAACAGTTTTGGACATGTATAATTAATGTGACTCCCCTTCCCATTCCAAAAGTCAGGAGATAGCTATTTCGGTAATTCTAGTCTAGGTGTTTGTTATTTAGCACGAAGTTTTACATTAAAAAAAAAAAAAAAACAACAACTCAAGAAACAAATAATGTAACAATAAAGCCTGGTACTCATGAGAGAATTGTCTTAGTTGTATTTCAAATTATAGAAATTAGAAGAAAAATATTATTTTAAATTGCTATTAAACATTACTATAATCATACAGAATATACTTAATTTAAGCTTCACATTTCTTTGCAGAAAAGACCTCAATTTATGTCTTACATTTGTAACAATAAACACATGGAATACATATTCGAGATACTTTGTCTACTTGTGATTTGTATCACTGATTACATGTAGAGGCAATTGGTACATATTGCTACTGAAATGTAACATAGCATACCTCTGAATTCAGGTGTGAAATGCAGAGTCTGAAGAAGGGAATTGAGGTAACATGTTCCACCCTGATTTCTGATTCCACTCAAATTGGTGAATTCTCTAGGAGCAGGAAGCTCCAAAGGTTTAGTCTTTAGTTTCTTCCCTTTTCCATATTGATTATCTGACACACTGGAATAATCCTCTTCAAATAGGTCCCCAAACATTGTGAAACTAAATATCACCCTTTAAAAAAACGTTATATGAATATAAATTTTTAGGTTTTTAAAATATTTTCCTAAATCTTCCTTTTATTTGGGAATGTATTTTGTAAATTGCTCTTTAGAAAATACATAAAATACAGTAGTTTTGGAGGCATCAAGATCTGAATTTTTTTCATTCCTGTTATCATTCTAATTAAACTTTGGGCCCCTAGGCAAATTAACTATTTTCTTTTTCTTTTTTTTTAAAACTATTTTCTTATAGGTAAAAGTGATACCGTATGTCTCACAGAATCACTTAAACAGTCAGGATAGTAACAGAAAGGCGCTTGTTGGGGGTGGTGGCACACACCTCTAATCTCTGCATGCTTGGGAGGCTGAGGCAGGTGGATTTTGTGAGTTCCAGGCCAGGCTGGGATACGTAGTTCACGACTAGACTTCACTACATGTCAAAACCCTGTCTCAAAAACAAAAACACAAAAACCACTCAAAAGAAAAGCAATTATACGCAGGGTTTGGCCCACAAGTGTCAGACAGAAAAAAAAGAGATGTTTACATCACTAATAAAAAAAGAAAAACTAGCATAAAACCTAAACCATTGATGGGATAGCAAAACCAATAGTAGAGTCCAAGAGTTAACAGAGGCTTTGGGTTTATCACTCATTAAAATCTCTGCTTCTCAACCATCTGTGCCTAATACTAGGTTACGATATTTAAGTGAATTAAACGGACCAAACTTAATTTTCACGGCAGTTTAGTACAACCAAACTACAGAGCCAGGAGTAGGTTTTCTGGGGAGGAAAGACTCGCTGCTGTAATGCTGGAGCTCTGGGGAGCGAGTGTGACAAATGTCACACGGAGATGAGAAACACGAAGCCCCGGCAAAGTCTGCAAGGGACAGCGCTGAAACATAATTATTTCCAACTTATTCCTCAGAAGAAAGGCATAAGAAATGGAACTGGAGTCTGGCCTCGAGCTCAGGGCCTGGGTCTCCGTCTTCTTCATTCCACAGCCGAGGCCCGAGGCCCCCAGCCCAGCAAGCAGGCCCCAGACCCGGGAAGCCAGGAATTGGAGGTTCCGGCGGCTCGAGGCCACCGACCGCCGCGACGCCAGGAGCGCGCTGCGCGTCCCCGACAGGCCCGGGCTGCCCCGCGCCTAGCCCGTTCGGGCCGCACCACCAGCACCGTCCTGATGCTCCCGCGTCCTCCCGAAATCCCCGGTCGTCGTCCCCACTTACTGCCTAAAGCCCAGAACCCCGCCCTGGCCAAAACGCAAAGCTGAGGGATGCGGCCCAAGTGGGCACCGCCACGTCCACGAGGGCGGGACTGGGAAAGTGCTTTCCGGAGCGCAGATTGTGCTTCCCAGAGTGCCCCGCGACAGCGCCGGCCCCGCTCGCGGGTTCTTATGGGCAATGTAGTTCAGCTGGTAGTTGGGCGTCCTGTCACCTTCTGGAGATGTTAGTTTATGGTTTTTGCTGTTCACAAACCGTGGTACCGGGAATTGGTTACCCCAAGGCTGCTTGTCTCAGGTATTGCTGATTTCCGATTCATCTAATCATGGTTTGCCAAGTGCCTGAAAGAGATTTTTTCCAGCGTATCTCCAGTCCAAACTCAAGTATTCCATGTTCTTCTGAACTTTGTATCTTCCTGGATGTTTATTTCATCAACACTGGTTTAAGAAGCATATGTAAAAATTCACTAAAACAATGTGCTACGTGCATGTATCACATCCCCCAGGATGAATGTAATAGATTACTAATAAAAATATTAGATGCACTAATAAAAATATTAGAAAAAATGCACTAAAACAAAATCCACATTTCAAAAATTATTTTTGAAAAATTATTACATGTAATTAACTTGTGTATAATTAAGAAGTTAAACAATTTTCTGTCTAAAATCCTAAAATTTTTAAGATATTAAAATATTCTGTTGAGGGCATCTGCTGGGGATTTAGCTCAGCGGCATAAGCACCTGCCTTGCAAGCAGGCAGTGGCAGTCATGAGTTTGATCCCTGGTACCGATAAAAAATGAAAAAGACAAAAAAATATTCTGTTGACAAAAAGCTTGATTAAAAACTAAGATTTTGTGTTTTATCAAAATAATTTTTTGTGTTTTCTGCTGTTAGGCTATTGAATTCTTAAAATGGAATTTAAAAAATAAAAACCAAAAAGGCCCTGGGATTTTAAGAGTTAACACTTATTAAAAGATTTACTTGTTATAAAACATTTTTGATTATTGGTTTATAACTGATTAAATAAACAACTATTATTTTAGGTTCTATCATACCATATATATCTGAGTAAAGAAGAAAACACATTGGAGAATAAAATATGCTGGTAGCCTGAGCTTTGGTATTTAGAAGTTCATAGCTTTAAAATTACATAAGGTTAATGCCCATAAAATTGCTAACAAGTGCTCCCTTTTTTTAAAAAAAATTTATTTAAGGAGAAAAAGAAAAAAAAGCAGAGAAAGGGTACAAGTTATACAGATTTACAGAAAAAAACAGGAAATCACTAGTTAATGGATTACATTTTGTCATCTTAGAAATAATTGTTCAAGTTACAAAATTAAAGCTTATAAAGTGGACATTCCAACAGTGAGACTGCAAACAGTTCTGTTCAATGATCCAATAAAACTCAGCAATATCATTATCTATCTTACACACTTAAATATACATGCAGTTATATCATTTAGAGCACTTTCTTTTCCTTTCTTTTGTACAATGACAATTACACATTTTGGATTTTGTTGCTCCCACAGTTCTTATTACTTTTTTGGAAGAGAGTAGAACCAAATGTGACATAACAGAACAGTCAAATCAAAAGGGTGGACGTAATAGATAATGTAAAAGCATAATACTAGGTGATCAACAATGGTTACCATAATGCCTCCCGCTATCTCTAATAGAATTGCCTATATCATCAGTTATAATAAAATTTGAACAAAACAGTAAAGAACAAAACCAACAAAACCAAAACATTGGAGACATTATAGGTCTTCAAAAGTAGATAATAGTCAACCAGAATGGGCGTCATAATGAATCCCACTATCTTCATAGCTGTTGCCTAAACTTTCGAACCTGGTACTATCAAGTAAAACAGGATAGAGGAACATCAGTCAAAATAAGATGGTGAGAGCAATACAGGGCTTTAAATCAAGATAACGGAAAGTCAAAGTGGGTTACTATAATATACCCTGCTATTTTTTTAATTGATTTTCCCTTAATTAAAAGGATAAAAAAAGTAAATAATAAAATGGAGATTGAGATAAAAGAGGACATAACAGCAAATCAGCGCAGATCAAAACATAACCATTTAAGCAAAATAGCGTTTCACCACAAGATTATCCTGACATAAAAGTAGTTACCATATTGTCTCTTTCCTTGAAATCTTTAAGTATAACTTCATATACTGTAGCATCAAGTATATCAAAACAATGTAAAACCATTTAAGAGAATGACAGTATTACAGGGTATTTAGAATCAACTAACAGAAAATGAACAATGGTTTCTGTATAATCTCCTTGTCTGTAAAAGGTTTTGTTTATACTATCATATATAATAAAATCCAATAAGATACCACCTGTTTAGACCAATGGAGACAGAAGAACAAAAGCTTGATGAGACTTTAAAACAAGATGATACTAAATCAGTATTACCTCTTAAGACGTCATTTTCTCCAAAATAGCTGTTCCTATCATCCAATCTTCTCTGTCTCATTTCTGTTGAGCTCTTTTTCTGTCATTAGTTGTCAGTTTGTCTTCTTCATTTTGTTTTCTGCTCCATTCATTGTGGTCTCTCTGCGGCTAATTCTGGATTTTTCATATTTTTCTTTTTTAGAATATCTTGCAGTATTCTCTGTAGAGTTGAATTGGTGGTTGCAAATTCCCCTAGTTCCTCTTTATCCTGGAAGCGCCTTGTTTTTCCATCAATTTCCAGGGATTGTTGTGCAGGATATATCAATCTTGGCTGGAGATTATTATCTTTCAAAGCTTGAATTACTTCCCCCCACACTCTTTATGATTTGATGGTTTGTGCCGAGAAGTCTGCTGTAATTCTAATGGGTGTTCCCTTGTAAGTGGTCTGTTTCTTGTCTCTGACGGCTTTTAGTATTCTGTTCTTGTATTGGATTTCTGGAATTTTAATTATTATATGCCTGGGTGTTGCTCTGTTTGGGTTGTAGGTGGCTGGGGTCCTGTATGCTTCATACAACTGAGTATCTTTACCTTTTGCTAAATTAGGAAAATTCTCCTGGATTATTTCTGTGAGTAGCTTTTGTAGATCATTTGTTTGTGTCCCTACTTCTTCTTTTATGTTCTTAATTCTTAAGTTATGAATCCTCTTATCATCTTCTAGTCTTTGTATTATTGCTGTTTGTTTCTTTGTTACTTTTAAGAAGTTTTTCATTTCATTCTCCCATATTACAAATCTGCCCTCCAATTCAGATAGTCTGTCCTTACTTTCTTTCAAGCTGTTATGCCAGTTTTCGATAGAGTTTTTAGTTTCCTGGTAGTCTCTTTGAACCTGCTTCACATATTCTATGCTTTCTCTATTTTCTCCATTAAATAATTCTCCCCTCTTTTTCTGTTCTTCCATTCCACCATCTGTTTTTTCTTGAGTGGTGCTTAGCATTTCTCTAACTATTCTGCTTATGTCTAGCTTCAGGTCATTAATAACTTCATTCCTGAACTTGTCTATGAGGCTCTCGAGATAGCGCTTTATGTCTATTGGTGCTGTGGCTGCTGTTGCCTGTTTCTCAGGATTGGGGACCGAGGACCCTTTCTTGTTGCTGCCTCTTCCCATATTCTTTGTTCCTTATATATGCAAGCGTATATAGGAGGCCCAGCTTCCTTCCCTGTCAGCCATAGTCTGATTGAATTGTGCCGGCTAGGTGTTCCCACCCACCGCAGTGCAGCAGGAAGTTGCACACCAGGCAGCCGATGCGAGGCCCGCCCCTCCAGGTCAATCTACCTTCAGGCGCTGGGACCTGGGTTGTGCTAGCCTACTGGGTTTCAGCCAGCAGCATCATGTGGGCTAGGCACTGCTCACCCACCAATCCCGCTTGAGAGGGGGATCCGTGACTGAAGTCACTGCAGTGCCCTGTTCCCTCAAGTCTGCCCGGTCCCAGAATGTCCTCTGTTGGAGTCTCCTAGACCGTGGAGGAGTCCAGTTTTCCCTCACTCACCAGAGGTGGATGCACGGCTCCCCGCCTGTCCCGCTTTCAACTCCGTTCACTGATTCCCCTTCTCAGAGCTTCTGCGCGTCTCTCTCCCTGCCGAGCCGATGAGGACGCAGCGGCGGCAGGGGGGAAACCCAAATCGTGGCTTCCAATGGCGCGGGATCCAGCTTCCATGCTGAGGCTTTATCTTTTAGCACCAGGATTGCATTCCCAGTTGGTTTCTCTCAGCCCAGTTCGTTCTTGGGTCACCGGGGCATATCTCCTCTTGCTTATGATTCCTTACTCAATATCATTCCTGAATTCTAAGCTGGATGTTTCAGAGAGCCTCCATAGCTGCTGCTATCTGTCCGCCATGTTCTCCCAGAAGTCCCAAGTGCTCCCTTTTATACTCTATTTACGGTCATTAACACTATTTTCTAAATTTTTAGGAGTCTAAAGTTATCCTTTAATTCTTGTCATTGCTGTTATACTATGTTAAACTGTGAAAGCAATACAACATTTCTCCAAAAGTAAAATATTTCTATATAGCTATAATGTTACTCATTGATAACTTCTTAGCATATAAAATATATTTATGTTCCTCAGAAGTACAAACTGTTGTACACCAAAAACAAGGCCCCAAGATGTTGTTCAAAAAACGGAGCAAGACGTCTTTAAAAAGAAGCACTTTATTTTGGCTGGTACCCAGCGACACAGCCTGCTTTGGAATCTGCGGAGCTGTGTAACCAGGTTAGGTTACAGGGAGTTTATATAAGGAAAATCACAAAGAAGAGAAAAAGCAGGGAGCTTAATACAAAGAGGAAATTAATCTCTGCAAAATACTTTATAACCAAGGGCCTGTTGGTCCCATGACCACATGTTTTACAATTAGGTGGTCAGCAAATGTTTTATAATCAAGGGTCAGTAGGTTCTGGGACCAAATTGCTGTTCTGGAAGGGGGTAATTCATAAGAAACAAGGGTTGAAAGAAAGGTCAGGGTAACGACGCTTTACAGAACAGGATAGCAGCACCTTAGCCAGGCTACAACACAAACCTTCTAAAATACAAATTTTAGATTGACATCATAATGATGGCTTCCAGACTAAACCTGTTTGTAGTGATAGGCTTTTTTCCCCGTATGTGATTTTTATGTGTTCCTTATTTTATTAAATAGTAAGATGGACCTGAAACACTGTATACTCTAGGGAGTGATATTAA